CGACAAGTAGCTCCATGCCACCGCCGTACAATTATGTATGGAAGGGTGCTACCGCCGCACAATATTCTTGCACAAAAAAACAATCGCCACCTCACTTCCAATTAGATTATTACTTATCACGGAGTCAAGAACTCAAGTCAGGAGACGGGACATTTGCATATCACATGGAATCGAAGGGCAACTGGTCAAGGCGAAGGGGTTTAGCCGGCAGCTTCGTTTCCTTGCTTTCAACATCCTGTTCTTTTTGCAACAGAAAGCATCGCGGAAATTCCTTTGTGAATCCATGAAACATCGATCTCTAAAATGTTAACGCATGATTCTGATTACCTTCATTTCTTCGTATCGATCACGAATGGCTTCCATTCCACAATGCATTTTACCGCCATAGTGATCGGCTAGACGCGTTTCGTGCTCCATCAGGCTGAGCTGTGCTCCACACATATCACATACTCGAAGTCTTACTTGAGGCGTGTTCAGCACTGTTCGCACATCATTCTAAACATCACTCTGGTAAGTCTTTTTATTAAAAAAAAGAAAAAAATCCCACTTTATCTGTAACAATTCTTACATTAATGGAGCATGGAATCAGTTTCCGAATCTTTAGAAGTTAATGCCAACACTCAATAAGGAAGCGGGAAGCTATGAAAGTCAGTATTCTGCTGATGCGAAAAAAAGATATTAACTTTTCTGCGGTTCCTCCAATCAAAAAACAACTGGCCAGCGCACTGGCTGCCCGTGCGAAGATGCGTTTTTTTGCAGACAGTTCCCCGCAGATTTTTTTTGCCAGCGGCACTGTTTTTTCTGGCAGATGCTTCTAGCTAAAAGAATTGACAGTGGTCACCACCACGACTGTAAGGGATGCTAGTTTCTGCACTATCAATCCCCGTCAAAATAAGTCAATAAATTACAGATAGAGACCGGCTTTCCCACAGGCAAAACTCAAATTAACGGTTTCTCAAGTGTGCCAGTATTGCATAAACTTACTGATAAAGCAAATATTTTGTAAATTGTACGCATCTTTCCCGCAGACTCTGAAAAATTACTGTTAACTAATACAAGGCTGCCTTTCTC